GGGTTTAGGGTTTAGGGCTTATAACTATAGTTCTCCATCTCATACTCCTGCTTCTATCCATGAACCTCCAGGAATGCCCTGAACCCCAGACCACGAAACCCTACGTACAACTACCCATGGACCCCCTAAACCCTAAACCCTAAACCCTAAACCCTAAACCCTAAATCGTGTGGGACTGGGACTGAGGCTCATCACTGCCAGAGTCGCGTCCACTCGGGACCCCGCCTTGTCTCCAGCCAAGCCACCCCGGAGGAGCGTCTCCTACGGTTCAGGGTTTAGGGTTTAGGGTTTAGGGTTCAGGGTTTAGGGTTTAGGGTTTAGGGTTTGGGGTTCAGGGGTTTGGGTAAGTTTTGAGGGGTTTAAGTACATCGCTGGCTACGGTTTAGCGCTTAGGGTTCTGCTGGCATGAGACAACCCTCGGCACGTAATATAGGGGCCTTAATGATTAGAATAGGGCTTTGGGGGGATATTATTACCATAGTTATAATGAGGAACCCCCAAAATTGTATTGGGAACTATTTAGGCTACTCTATTGGCTTGCGCCTTCACTCTGGCTGCGTCTGCTGGGCGTACCCTGTTTGGCCTGTCCGAACTCCAAGCAGTGTCCCAACTCCGACAAACAACATGCCCTATAACACATAAAAAATAACCAGTAGCATTTAGTGTAATATAATACGAGTATATATAGTAGGAAATATATAATCAACATACAACATATCCTCTCGCAATGCCCTGCTTTTCGACTGAGACCGAGACCGGCAGTTTCGTGAGAAGCTTCTTGTCTACGCAGCCGGTCTTAGTTCACAGAGACTGGCGCTTCTGGGAGAGCTCCGGGTGGCTTCAATAACCTCTATACAAGCTTCATAATTAGAACCCTTACATATACCCTCTAAACCCTAAACCCTAAACCCTAAAGGAAACCTTCATGGAAAACCCTAAACCCTAAACCCAAAAATCGCACTTCTTCTTGAGGTTTAGAGTTTAGCGCTTTGGGCTTAGGGTTTAGGGTTCCCTCTCTCATGCCAAAGGCCCGGGCCGCGATGCAGCCTTGTAAGATCTCAAGGATGCCTTTCTCGGCCATGGGCGCGTCGATCTTGAGGTCCTGGCTTTTTCCGGGTTTAGAGTTTAGGGCTTAGGGTTTAGGGCTTGAGGCCTGTGGGTATCATATTTGGGTTTAGGGTTTAGGGTTTAGGGCTTAGGGTTTAGGGCTTAGGGTTTAGGGTTTCAGGGTTTGGGTTGTGCGGTTTTGGGTTTAGGGGCAAGGAAGTACAAAGAATGGCTGAGGCTTGGCCCACTACGGCATGTAGTTGCACACTCACACTGGGACTTAGTAAGCAAGGTTATACGT